GGGAAAAAAAAAAAAGAAAAGAAATAAGAGCAGCTGCAAATGTCTTTGGCAAAGTTCAAGTTCAGTAGCAGATGCACTACCCCAGGCTGATAGCACCATCATTCTGACACTGTGGCTTCTTGCACCTCCACCAATTTTGACTTTGGTTTTCTCTATCTCTTCCTCTTGGTCCCCTTGGCTACCTGCTTCTGGTTACTGACTTGACTTTGCTGCTGACCCTGCTCTGCTGGCTTGTACTTTAAAGGGATCTGGGTAACTCCTGGTGCCAAAACTCTTGCAGGCTCCCCTCCCATCTCCCAGGACTGTCCACTCCCCATCCCAAGGCTAGAGTTTAAGCTTGAGATCCAAGCACCATTCTCCTCAAGCTCAGCACCAGCACCCCCCCCCATCTGTTTCTCTCACACCCTATTAGTGGTGATCAGACTGGGGTTGTTTTAGGAAAGTATTTCCAGTAGTTCAGTGATGGAATCAGAAAATGTGGGGTTCTATTAAAATAAGGTGAGCCATCCTCTGTGTGCCAGGTTCTGCTCCCCGCCAATCTACATCAGAAATGTGGGAGTCAAGAGGTACAATAAGCAACAAGATGAGGTCTACACACATGTCCAATAAAAGATTCCAAATAGATAATATGTTTAAAATAAAGACAGAAGGATGAATAAATAACTCAAGGGGGGAAATCCAAGACACTATGTATATATTCAAAAAAAGAATTTTTGGGAAGTGAAAAAAAGATTTTATAGAAATGAAAAATGTGCTAACTGAAATGAAAAGCCAGATAGTTGGGGTCAGCAGCTGAGGGGACTGCCAGTAGCACTGACCCATCTCCTGCCTCAGGGGGCAGAGTTCCTGTTTCTCCACAGCTTGGTCAGCGTCTGAGGGTGGGGCAGACTCTCAGGTAGGCAAATTGCAGGTTGCATTGTTTCTCCACGGAACTGGGCTCATTCCAGCCAAGGTCCTGCCTCTTATGGCTTCCTAGGATTCAAACTCAAACACAAAAGGACTTCAAGCCTCATAAACCCCACGCTGCCTCCGTTTTTTAGGCCCCGATGGGTGTTTGCTCCTTCGGGCCCGCTCTCAGCAGGGGTGTTCCACAGAGACCCTGCCTGTCAGAACCTAGTTCTCACACCCAGATGCCTCTTACCCAGTAAGAGTCCTTCCTGCTTCCGCCCTTAATTCTGCTAATCCCCAGTTTCTCTGTTGCTCACAATAGCACTTTCTCCCTCCTGCTCTGCTGGCCAAGGGCATTTACCCCACTTACTATTCCTTTTCTTGTCAGCCAGTCTCTTCCACCAAACAGATACCGCTTCTCTGTTAACATACAGGAACCTTAAATCTAGCTAAGAGTTTATGGGAAAGAAGCAAAGATATATTTTTCCAAACCTTAAGCTAACAATAGCCTGGCAGAGCCCAGAAACCTGGAGATAAAGGAGTATATTGACTTCTGAGACTGAATCTTACTTACAAATCTGCTACTTAGCTGTGTGACCTTTGGCAAGTCACTTAACCAGTCTGTGTCTCAATTTTCTCATGTAAGACAGAGATCATAGTACTCTGCTTATAAGGTTGTTATAAGAATGACTTGAGTTGGTATAAGTAACATGACTAGAGCAGCACTGTATGTGTTAGCTGTCGTCATTATTACTTGAAGCTGGGAAGGCTGGAGGAAACAGTAGGTGGCAATCACAAGATCAGGTCAGAAAGTGCCATGTCATTTAAACTAGTATTTTCTTCTATTCTTTCTCTTGGACTCAAGGCGCATCCAATAATTATAGGGCTCTTAGTCTTCCAAGACAGCCCAGAAAACCTCCCAGTCCTGTCAACTCCCATGTCAGCCCCCATGTGTGAGTCAGACACCGAACACTTATTGCTTCTGTCTCTTGCTCTTTAGCTCTTCCTTCTACAAAGCATTCTGCTCGTAGTAGCTAAGAAAACCCATGCTTTTGATATCTGGGAAGCAGCTGCAGGATAGTGCTGAACAGTGACAGGGCACAGGGTAAGGCTGGTGGGGGAAGCATCTCCCTTCACCCACGGCAGAATGCCTGTGTCTGACCTTGGCATCCTACACTAACCAAGATGCTCAGGCCCCAGGCTTTGCTTTAACTAAGCTCATCTGTTTGGTCAAAATCTCTGAAAAACTTTTTTCACTTCTCTCCAGTCGACTTCTAAATGGATTGTTTCACTTGGGGTAGCAATCACTTGTGCATGCAGCTCTCTATCTAATCAAGAGAAGAGATGCTGTCTCAGAGATAAAGATGCAGGTTCCGAGTAGCTTAGGGATCAAGATAGTGTTGCCTGTTTGCAGTTAATAAAATTTGAGATATGTCCCAGAATATGCTTGCTAGGGAGGGAGTCAGACTGTTCAGCAGACTGAATTCTGCTATCAAACATCTCCAAGATAGCTTTTGAAGAATTCAAGGGAACACAAATGTGATCCTATAAACCAACTAACGTCCTGAAGTCTCAGATGCTGTTAGCTCAAAAGGCTATACATGCTTTAATTTAAAAAAATATATACAGGGCCTCCCTGGTGGCACAGGGGTTAAAGACAGTGCCATCAGGCTATCGCCAGGCACTGGCATGGGTGTGATCCCTGACCAGGGAGGTGACCCATGTGGCGCAGCGCACCTCTTGTCTTGCCCGCTGCTCCCCGCAGCAGTGGATTTCAGTCAGTCTGCCTGTTCTGCTCCCTACTCTGTCTCTGGTGAATCCTCTTAGCTCCCACCCCTCTGGCCTGTACCCCAGTTCTTGTATGCATAAATAAATAAATCTTTTTTAAAAAGTATATATATTTATAGCCTCCAATTTAGAATGGCCTGTCCCTTGACGAACCTCAAAGTGATAAGCTTTTATCATGTAGCTTTGTTGCAAGTGGGCATTTGCACACCTTTTAGGAACTGGGGATCCAGAGAGGGGCCAAGGTGTGTGTTGGGTTATCGACATAATCCTTGCTCTACTTGAACTGCAGCTTTTCATCCTTGACTTCTGCTAACATTCTACCACTCACTGCCCATTCTCAGGAGCTCATTCATGTTTTGTGACCAGCCTCTATCCATTCCAGGATGACTTTAGTGTTTATCAGCAACGACTGAGTTCCTAATGAATGCTGTGTTGGGAAGTCAAAGATACACGAAAGGGGATTTTCCCCAGAGGTGTTCCCAGGCTGGCGGAGATATGGGCATATATATTCTTATGATTCAAAGTGACCAGCTGTGTTAACACAACTTCAGATGGGCCAAGGGGGAACAGAACCAAGAGAACAGACAGCCAGGGGAGGACAGCGAGAGGCGGCATCAAGGAAGAGGAACATTCAGCCTGGGCCTGCTAAGTTTATAAGCGAATTCACCAAGTAGAGAAATGAGAACTTGTCAGTCACTTTCCGCCAGGGTCCCCGAGGCCTGGCGCATGTGCTCTGACCAGGACCAGAGCAGGCAGCATCTACCGAGCGGGAGATGCACCGGAGGGAGCTGGGCTTGAGAGGAAGGAAGTGGCATGCATGAGGAATAACTGGAGGGCACTGGGTTGAAGGGTCACAGGCTCGGGCGTGGGAGTCAGAAGCTCTCACTGAGTCCCTTTAGATTATCCTTGTTCAGCTCGTGAATTGCAGAGACTTCGACTGGATCATTTTTCAGAAGCTCAGGAGAATACTCAGACAAAGTTAAGTTTTACCCTCAGAGAAGCGTGTGCGGCACATGAGGTGGCCTGAGCGAGGTAAAGAGAGTCTGAGGGGTGCAGTCCTGCGGGAAAAGAGCCTGGTCTTGGCAGGAGGCGGGAGAGCACCCCCAAATTCACCCACCACAAAATTGCTGAGCAGCAGTGGGACTCGCACACCTCGCCTCCCTTTGCCTCAGTTTCTTCACCTGCACCCAGGTTTGACTGAGCTGTGCCACCTTTCACTGCCCTCCCAGCTCCAATACTGTGCACAAACAACACGTTGTCCCCCAACTCGCTAACCTCGATTTCAGCCCAACATCTTTGCAATCATGGCAAAGGTTGCTTTTCAGTTTTGAACTTTCCCCTGATGGTGGGAAGAGACCACGCACGTGGAGCACACCCTGGAAGGAGAAATCGGTGGGTGGGGGCGGTGGGGCTGATGCCTGATGCAGGAGGTGCTGCTCACAGGCTCCTAAGTCAGTGGTGCCCCGTTCCTACGCAAAGAGCTGCAGCCTGAGGACTTTCCTTCAGCTAAATTTAGTGCCCTACCCTAGCAGCAGGCAGAACCCATTGACAGAAACCATGGCACTGAGTTTATCCCAGGGCAAGTCAACAGAACTGTCAGAGGCAATTGAGGGTGATTGTGCGTGTTGTAGCAACTGTCAAGAGCATAAATCAATTGCTGCTGTTAGTTCAAAATAATGAGGCTTAATATTTTGTCTTTTCCAATACCTATGATTTGCTACAATTACCTTACTTTCTCAAACAAAGCTTCCACACAGCATAAATATCCCCTTGGAGTAAGAAAATCAAAGGAAAGCAGATGAAAGACCTTTTTTGATAAGTCAGAGTGATGCCTGGTAACTCCTCTGATGGTTTCCTGTTTGCTCGTTTTTTTTTTAAACTTAAAAGTTTTTCTTTAGTATTCTTTTCAGTAGTAAATTTCCACACCCCAGCTTTTTTTCTCGAGTTTTTGGAACTAGCAAGCTCCTCAGCCCACGATTTAAAGCAAATTCTTTCACATAAATTGCCAAGGAATTTATGGTTTTCTTAATATGCCCATTAAAGTTGGTAAATTACAGGGACCCACACATCTTAGAAAACAAAGATTGCAAGCTTACATTGAGTGAGTGAGCCGCCAGGAAGGGGATTAGCCGGCTGCAGGAAAAGCCTCCCCTAGCCTCCCCCCACACCCCTGTTCGGCCCCCCTTAAAACAAGAAGACAGTTCTCATCCTTCTTTCACAGAAAGGATTAGATTTTCTGAGTGTTACCCTCCCTCAGTTCTGTAGCCTCAGGCGCCAAACAAGCCTTCAGTATCCCAGGACTGGAAAGCCTGGAGGTAGCTTACCCTGAGCACCTCCGGTGGAAAGTAGCTGGGTGACCAGGGCCGCTCTGGGAGTCTTCATGTCAGCTCCCCTCGGTGCAGACCTGATGCTATGCGCTGGGCTTCAGCCTCCCTGAAACGTGAACATTTCCTGTTTCCTGCTTGTTTGGGTTGGTGCAAACTTGAAGGAGAGGTGTTTGCCTGTTTTTTAGGAAGTGATGTAATTCTGCAGGAGCCTGTCAGACCAGCAAGGATTGCAAAAGAGAAGTTGCTCTTCATGCACTGATTCAGTTAGCACGCCCTTCCAGCACGCCCTGGCAGTCCTGGCCACAGGCCTCCATCTTTTGAAATTCTCCACATGCCAACGGTGTCCGTTGTTCAGATATCTTTTGGGATCTGGCACTGGTGGGCCCTGGACTGCATGCACTCTTGGTTTGTGGTTTTACTCAAGCCCAGGTGAGTTGCTGAAGCTGCCTAGAGTCTAGAACTATCCAGGAGACGTTTTAGGAAAATGTTGCACATTTGCTCTTCCAAAATGTGTCACCAGCCACCAGGGCTTGTGAGCAAGGAGGATAGTAGGAACTAAGTTTTTCATTTTCATGTTTTTAAATTTAAATGTAAATAACTCCATTTCTAGCTCTCGGCCAGCTCTCAGGGTGCCATTGGGTTTCCAGGTCGGCAGATCGGGTAGGACGCATTTAAGATTTTATTTCCCTATTTTCTCCCTGAGTTGTACATTTCCTCATTTCCCCTTCCCTTGTAAATAAACCTTTTATTAACCTTTTGTGTGTGTCTTCAGTGAAGTATTAATAAGTCCCTTTTAAGCGTGCGGGTGAGGACCCACGGCCGGGCAACCCGTTTTATATCGGGGCTGCCCTGTAACAATACCTTTAGGAATCTGCCTGGACACTTCAACAGGCCCAGCTTCCTCCCTGGACACTGTGTACCTCCCTTCTTCCCCCAGGGTTCAGGGGAGGTAGAGGACAGTGCCACACCCTGTCTGAAGCGTGTGTTCTGCTTCCCCAGAGAGGTCTTTTGTAATGTTTGTTTGTTGTTTAGCTGTTCATTTTTTTTTTTAATATTTCTTTTTTTCTTTTTAATATTTATTTATTTATTTATACAAGCACTGGGTTCGGTCAGAAGCGCGGGGGGGGGGCGGTGAGAGAATTCACCAGAGCCAGAGCGGGGAGCAGAGCAGGCAGAAGAACCGAAGTACACTGCTTGAGGGGAGCAGCGGGCGGCAGGAGAGGTCTGCGTGCCATGTGGGACCCTCCTCCGGTGGCCGGGGAGCAGCCGGGGATCGAACTGGCGCTGCAGAGGCTGCGGGCAGCTTCGCAACCCAGCGCTCAACTGTTGCACCACCGGGGAGGCCTTGGCTGTTCATTTTAAAGACTTTATTTTTCTTAGTTTTGCATTCACAGTAAAATTAAGAGGAAGATACAGAGATTTTACCATACACTCCCTGGCCCCATTCATGACAACCTCCCTGATGATCAACACCCCCCCCACCACACACACACACACACAGAGCAGGTATAGGGTAAATGGAAGTTATCAGGGTTTTTCCGCCATTAGCATCTGTGATCAGTGCCTGTGGGCTTATACACATACCGGATGGTGGGCACCTGGAGTACAGTATGGGTATGCATAAGTGGGTGCACCAGAGCTGAGAGACTAAGCATATAAGGGGGCTGTCACAAAGGCGTGCGGCAGCAGGAGAGGACAGAGGTGGCTGAGGCCCATGTGGTGGGATGCAGTGGAGGCCAGTGGAGCGAACACAAGAGGACTCCGGACTGCCCAGAAAGAGTAAAGATTCGCCAGGGGTTTGGGAGGCCTCCCTGCCTGCCCTGCACCTGACTGCCTCACTACAAATGGTGTAGAAAGATCATTAAACGCTGGAAAATGCCACTGAGGGCTCCAGGACTCCTCCTTCACCCGTCTGCCCAGAACGATAGAGAACCTACTCTGTGCCTTCCTGGCATTACACAGGGCATCTGTTATGATCCATCAGCCCACAGTGACACATCATAACCAAGTCTGTAGTCTGCCTTAGGGCCTCTCTTAGTACCAAATGTCCTGGATCTGAACCCTTGAATTGTAGTGAAGTGTGTCTGTCATTAGAGTATCACACAGGGTATGTCGGACCCATGAACAGTACACATTTGAAATGCAAGAATCCTCTTATACATGGGTTTTTTTCTATCCATCGTATCCCCATTCATAGATTAAACCAACCTTGGGAATCATGGATATGTAGGTTTGAGTAAATCTCAAGGATATAGAATTTGCAGATACGAAGGGTCAGCTATAAATTATACTCAGATTTTCAACTGTTTGGGTGGGTACCCCAACCTTTAAATTGTTCAAGAGGCAAGTGTAGATTCATAGCCCTAAAGATCCTCTGTGCTTTGCCTATTAATCACCCCCCGATCCATGACTATTCTTTACTATTCTTTATAGTTTTGTCCTCTCTGAGTGTCACATTCTTGGGGCCACATGGTCTGTAGCCCTTTTAGGTTGCTTCTTTCACTTCGTAATGTGTACTGAGGGCCCCTCCCTATATTTTCATGGTTTGGAGCTCATTTCTTTTTACTGAATAAGATCTCTATCTGGATGCAGCGCAGCTGATTTACCCACTCACCTACTGAAGGACCTTTTGGTTGCTTCCAAGTTTGGGTTATCATGAATATAGCTGCTATCACGTGCAGATAGTTGTGACATAAGTTTTCATCTCCATTGGGAAAATACCAAAGAGTTTGATGGCTGGATCACAGGGTAAGAAAGAAAAGATCTTATAAAAGGGCTCATTTCTGAAGCAGAACATGCTCTCAGAGGGGTTAAATCTGCATTTCACCTTTCTTCCTCCTTGCAAGACAATACATTTCCCAGGGTTGTTAACAACAAAGAAAATAGGCACCATGTGGATTACAAGGAGGTAGAAATCCTACCCAGTTGAGACAATGCAGGAAGGAGGTGTCTGTTTGGACCAGCATGTGGGGAGATTAGAGTGTTGAAGTTCTTGTTCTGACCGAAGTCCTTCCCTGGTGCGGGCTTAGGGCCCAAGAGCCCCAGAGTGCAATTCATTATCCTGTTTGTTGTGGAGCAAAGACAGGCAGGGGGAGAGCAGCCTCAGGCTGCCTCTCAGCCCCTTGTCTGCTGGTTCTCCTGTGTCATCGCTTTCCGTTTTCCGGCAGGCTAGGTCTTCAGCAACAGGGTCGAGGTGACTGGGATTCCTTAGCCCCTGACACAGTCTTTAATTTTTTGTTGAAAGCATAGTTGCTTTTTTAGTGTCATTAGTCACTGTTTATCTCCGTTCTTACCCACAACAATAGTTTTTGATTCATGTGATGGCCAGGGCGGTCATGGATTTACAGTAAGCATTTGAATATTTGAAACTGGCAATTAAATCAACTCCCGATAAAATACACTTTTGCACTTGCAGTGACAATAGGAAACAAACAGCAGAAGAAAAGACAAGTCAAAACCAGATGATTGATTTGAAAACAAGAGGGAAAGAACATTCCTCCAGCTCTCGCTGAGCCAATGAATAGACCCAGCTCGCTGGTGATTATTCCTGTGCCAGCCAGCATTTCTCCAGCTCCGATGCACCCTTGCGGGAGAGAAGCCCAGGCCTGGGGAGCTCTCTTCACATCGTCAGTTCTGCTCTATTAAAACCATGCTCCGAATCCAGGTTTGAGGTGTGTGTTTGGAAGAGCGAGGTGTCTGCCTTGTTTCTTGGATTTTGAGACTCCCGCTCACAGGAGGCTTTGTTCAGCCAGGTATCTGGGCTGAGCCACCAATGGTCTTTTTTAGCTTCCCTCTCCAGAGTCCCACAGCATGGCCAGGCGCTTTCTCAGTTCCCACAAGTGTGCCCCTCATTCTCCCAGAGCCGAGCGACACTCAGGATCAGTTAGAATGATGTGCAAAATAAACCGAGGCCTTGGTTCCATGCTGCACAATCATGCAATTTTCTCTTGACCCCTGCCTGTGCTCCGTCAGCCCCTTGGCAAGATTAAGCTGATCTTAGTAGGAAGAAAATTACCACCATTTATCAGAAGATTGTAGCACCTCGATGATCTCTTTGCTGAAGTTAAAATCACAGGGAGATTGTCTGGTAGGTAAAGGGCTATTTACCTCTGTTTGTTCTAATTTTACCAACCATTAATTTTGGCAAGTGGCCACCGGCCTCAGATTAAATCCTGATACACTCGTGGCAGGAAGTCAGGGCCCAGTCACAACCCAGAGGCACCAGGGAGCCTTGGAAGTAAAGGGCAGGCACACAGGCAGGGTCCTGCCCTGGCCTTTCAGCAATGCAAGGACCAACGGGCGGTGGCACCAGGAAACCCCCAGGAAGGCAGAAAAGAAACCGGTTACCTGGGCCTCCCCGGTGGCGCAGCGGTTGAGCGCTGGGTTCCGAAGCTGCCGCACGCAGCGCCGGTTCGATCCCCGGCTGCTCCCTGGCCGCCGGCGAGGGTCCCACATGGCGCGCAGACCTCTCCTGCTGCCCGCTGCTCCCCTCAGCAGTGTGCTTCGGTCCTTCTGCCTGCTCTGCTCCCCGCTCTGGCTCTGGTGAATTCTCTCACCCTCCCGCGCTTCTGACTGTACCGTGTTTATATGAATAAATAAATAAATAAATAAATAAATAAATAAATCTTTAAAAAAAGAAACCGGTTACCTGACCTCAGGACTCCTCATTCCTTCACACAAGAGTCTGATTTTCCCCATCAAGTCCTTATTACAAAAGTGACTTTCATCCAACCCCCTTCCTTCCTCTCAGTCCCACCCCCACTTTGCCTTCACCCTCAAAGAGGAGGGACTCCCCAGGAACCGGCCCAGAAGTGATGCCTTCCAGGGAGGGAGGGTTCCTTCCCCACTTTCTCCCAGACCCTCCTCCCCCAGCCTCACCATCTCCAGCACACACAGCCAGGCACCCACACACACATGGACACAGACAGGTGCACACAGCCCCCTCCCACACACTCACTCACATACACATGCTCACACACCTGCACACACACAGTGGGGATACATGAAGACCAGCCAAATGAGAACAAGCAAAGGCGACTCATCCAGAACTTGCTGTAGCAAAGCTGGGATCACGTGTGCTCTGGTGGAGACTCGAAGGCAGGCAAAGGAGCCGGAAAGGTCTATAGTGGAGAAAAGTGGAGGCTTCGAGTGTGTCCTCATGGCAGGTGCCAGCCTGGGGAGTTAGAAGCAAGTCCTAGTTATCAGGTCCAGT